CCGGATTCAAAAATTAGAATCTTTCAATTTAAATTATTATATAAAATTCTTGCTACCAATAGAATGTTATTTATATGGGGGATACAATCTTCCCAGCTCTGCAGATTTTGCTGTGAAGAGATAGAATCATTAGATCATTTGTTTTGGTTCTGTCCATTTGTAGCTTGTTTTTGGACACAGGTCCAGGAATGGCTAAAGGATTGCAATATTTACCTGGAACTAACCTTGCAGATAGCATTACTGGGTGATCTGAAAAGTCATAGTCAATCAATCAATAATATAATAATACTTTTAGCAAAAATGTTTATTTTTAATTCACAATCTGTAGAAGCAATGAGAATAGAAAGGTTCAGAACTTTTGTAAAACATCACAGTACGGTTGAAATATATATGGCAAATAGAAATCCTATATGGATGGTGTTAAGAGATAGTGTCAAGATCGTCTAACAGAGTGGACCAATGCGCAGCGTTGAATGCAAACATATTTATTCTCACTGAAGGCAACACGAACAAAACAACGAACGATACATGACAGTTCACGGTTACCATAAACAGACTCGAAACAAAAACCCACAAACACGAATGAAAACCCGACTGTTTAAATATGGCTCCCAATCAGAGACAACCAGCTGACACTCGTTGCCTCTGATTGGGAGTCACTCAGACCAACATAGAAATAAGTAACCTAGACCCACAACAAAAACATAGAAACTAACACCCTGGCTCAACATACGAGAGTCCCCCGAGCCAGGGCATGACAGTACCCCCCCCTAAAGGCGCGGACTCCGACCACGCCAACGAAACACAACAGGGGAGGGACCGGGTGGGCACTCCGCCTAGGCGGCGGATCCGGCTCCGAGCATGAACCCCACTCGCTCTCTAACCCCCCAAAGTACCCCTGGTCCGGTCTGGTCCTGCTGACCGGAGCTGGACTGCACACTGGTGGAGCGGATTGCTCTAGCTCCGGCGTAACGCATCTGACCGGCGCCGGACCAGGCACCAGTGGAACAGGCACGTGCCGTGCCGGACCGACGACGCACACCACTGGCTTGGTGTGGGGAACAGGCACGGGCCGTGCTGAACTGACGACGCACACCACTGGCTTGGTGTGGGGAGCAGGAGCGGGCCGGACAGGGCTGACGAAACGCACCACAGACTTGGTGCTGGGAGCAGGAATGGGCCGGACTGGGCTGGCGACGCGCACCACAGACCTGGTGCGGAGAGCAGGAACGGGCAGAGCCGGGCTGACGAGACGCACCACAGACTTGATGCGGGGAGCAGGAATGGGCCGGACTGGGCTGGCGACGCGCACCACAGACCTGGTGCGGGGAGCAGGAACGGGCAGAGCCGGGCTGACGAGACGCACCACAGACTTGATGCGGGGAGCAGGAATGGGCCGGACTGGGCTGGCGACGCGCACCACAGACCTGGTGCGGAGAGCTGGAACGGGCAGAGCCGGGCTGACGAGACGCACCACAGACTTGGTGCGGGGAGCAGGAACAGACCGGACCGTACTAGGGACACACACCACTGGCCCTACACCGGGATCTGGAACGGGCCGGACCGGACTGGTAACACACCCCAGTACCTCTCGCCGTGCCTCTACACCTTCCATCCCCTCTTCTACCAGTGGCCCCCGTAACCTGGCGGCCTCCTCTGCAACCCCGCTGGACCGCTCCATAGCGGCCTCCTGCTGCCCCGACGTCGTGAGCCCCCCCCTAAAAATGTTCTGGGGGTCTCTCCTCCCCGTGGGCCAGGCCTCCATCGTTCTCGCCCACCTCTCGCTCCTCTGTCTCCAACCCTCGTCACTCAGCTCCTCAATGGGCTTGACCCAGTCGAAGCTGCCACGGAGATCTGCCAGCGATTTCCCTGGCGATGGCTCCTCGACTCGCTGCTTGGTCCAGTAGAGGTGGGTTTTTCTGTCAAGATCGTCTAACAGAGTGGACCAATGCGCAGCGTTGAATGCAAACATATTTATTCTCACTGAAGGCAACACGAACAAAACAACGAACGATACGTGACAGTTCACGGTTACCATAAACAGACTCGAAACAAAAACCCACAAACACGAATGAAAACCCGACTGTTTAAATATGGCTCCCAATCAGAGACAACCAGCTGACACTCGTTGCCTCTGATTGGGAGTCACTCAGACCAACATAGAAATAAGTAACCTAGACCCACAACAAAAACATAGAAACTAACACCCTGGCTCAACATACGAGAGTCCCCCGAGCCAGGGCGTGACAGATAGATGGGAGGTATTGAATAGAGTTGAAGGATGGGACTAATAACAAATAACAACAAATAATAACAAAGATAGCTAATAATGTAAGCATACTGTGTCCATAATAAGTATATGGGTTGTATGTTGGGAGCTTTTGGGAAAGAGCACAGTTAGAAAGATATGGCATTTAGAAGCAAACCGGATGGACATCATGAAAATGATGGTAGAGGTTGAGAGTAGAAGAGGTTCAGGAGCAAAAAAATAAATATATATATATATATATATATATATATATATATATATATATATATATATATATATATATATATATATATATATATAGAATTATTGTAAAATTAACTCTGTCCATAAGGTGTAGATAGTAAGTATAGACCGGAAGTAGAGGCCTGGGCGTTGTTGTTCACTAATTTACTCCAAGTAGGGAAAGGATGGTGGGGTTGAAAAGTAATAAAGGGGAATATATATATAAAAAATAAAAATAAACATGGGGGATTGGAAGTGATGCAGACAATTACATTGATAGAAGATACAATCTATCTGCAATATTAAGCTGATCCATCCCCCCCCCCCCAAAAAAAAATAAAAAAATAAAAAAATAAAAAAATACACAACAATACACACAAATCCAGATTGACCCCCTATTCCAGTTATAGTAAACTACTTTTGACCTGAATGAAACCCTGAATTCATTATACAGTCCTGTACCTGGATGTAGATCACAACAAACTAGCATAGGAAGACTTTTCCCATTTCCTCTATGACTCAAGAGCTCCAATAGGGACAGGAAGCTGGTGAAAGAGTGTGTGGAGGGTAGATTACATTGAATTGTGTGTTGTCACATGGTGTTGTTGTTATGGGTAACATACTATGCTGTACGGCTGCCAAGGTGATTTTGCAGTGTTGTGATGACGAGATAGGGATCTCAAGTGCACTCGTGCAGCCCTAGTCTGTCCCTCACCTTTAACTGTGCGTGTGCTACGTAAGTAGGTAAACAGCATATTGAAACAGGTTGACTTTGCACAGGGTTGGCTCTAGGATACTCATACAGTGCATTCGGAAAGTATTCAGACCCCTTGACTTTTGCACATTTTGTTACATTACAGCCTTATTCTAAAATGGATTAAATACTTTTTTCCCCTTATCAATCTACACACAATACCCCATGATGACAAAGCAAAAACAGGTTGAAACTGTCCTGGCCCGCCTCTCTAATATCTCTGGCCACCTGTGGTTTGTGCAGGTCTGTTGTTATGCCAGGTGTTTCTGGGTGAATTACTTCCCAAGACCCATACTGCAAACTGGCTGCTATGTCACATGTCATCAACTGAGTCAAGCATTCACTGATGGAAATCTTCAATTAATTAATGCCATTTTTTTCAGTGTTCTCCTTACAGATTAATGTACCTAGATTGATTTGAACTGCAGGAACATTGTATGATCATGTGAAATGTAATCAAGATAAATACCAAGGTCTATAAAGAGATATGTAAGTCGCTCTGGATAAGAGCATCTGCTAAATTATGTAAATGTAAATGTAAATATGGATCAAGGACCCTATAGCATGCATATGTCTTAGTTCTATTGAACTGCACACACAATCTCAATAATAAATCCAATTATAATATTTCCTCTTTATCTACAACAATGTCATATGTTCCAGTGCACACACGTTACAGACAGCTATTATACTTTACTCTACAGTAGATAAACTACTTTGATCATTCAACACATAGTGGCATCCATTTTACACGTCTGTTGACAAGTCTTTGTTGTCATTGTTGTACCAAGTATTTACAGGTTAGTGCTATCCGGAATCGTTGGGACGTCCCTACACTAAACCCTAACCTTAACCTTAACCCTTACCATTTTACATTTCAACTTCAATGGGGTAGGGACGTCCCAACGATCCCGGATAGCAAGGATCAATATTTACATCACAACTGACTGTGCTGTTTGCTCATTGGTCTCCCATTTAGTTCCATTTCTATTCAAATCAATAGACCTTTATTGATTGTAAATATTGACAGTTGCCAGCCACAGAAACACAGTGAAAAGGAGTAGAGGGATAAACTTAGCCATAGATGACAAAGTTAGAAGAGCCATTCACACCACCATAGATCAGAGACCCTGACCTCTGAGTGGCCCATGTCTGTGATGGAAGATAAGACACACAAAAGAAGGTTGTGTCATTGTCCACATTTTTATTCAATGTTCAGCGATACAAACTAAACGTTTCGACTGACCTTGTTCAGCTCCTGTGCCAAGTTTTTAAATGTGCTTTCAGATAATACTCCTAGGCTGCGTTTACACAGGCAGCCCAATTCTGATATTTTTTCCACTTATTTGTCTTTTGACAAATCACATCAGATCATTTCACATCAGATATTTTTCAGAGCTGATCCGATTGGTCAAAAGACCAATTAGTGCAAAAAAGATCACAAAACAAACTCACACAAACTCAACGTTTCGACTGACCTTGTCCAGCTCCTGTGCCAAGTTTGAATGTGCTTTCAGATAAGACTCGTAGACACACAGTATATGTTGCTGCTGCTTCTCCTGCTGCTGTGACCTCCTTAACCCTCATCTATTCTTCTCTGTCAGCCATGTCTGCTACTGTGACCTCCTAAGCCCTCATCTATTATTTAATTCCCTTGTACTCTATCCCTACAATACATCTCCGTATCTCTATGTCTCTGCCTGCCACACAGAGATTAGAACATCCAGCCAGCCTATCTCTCTGTTCCTCGTCACAATGCCCTTTCACTTCCTGATACCCATGGTGATAGGCAGCTCTGATTGGCTGAGCTGTGTCTATGTGGTGAGATAAGACTGTGTGATTGGTCAATACAGTGAGTGATTGGTGAATGACCATGTGTGATTGGTAGATGAAGTGAGGTGAGAGCATGTGATTGGTCAGTGCAGCAAGATATTTGTGTATGATTGGTCATTACAGTTGAGATAACAGCATGTCATTGGTCTGTTGTGTTGTGCAGTGCCTGGAGACGCTGAGGTCAGGGCAGATGGACATGCAGAAGTTCATCGCCGATGGCTGCAAGGAGGCTCTGCTGGAGGAGAAGAGACGATTCTGCTTCCTGGTGGACAAACACTGCACCTTCTCCTATCAGATTGCTGCCTTTCACGACAAGGTATAGGACCTATGCTACAGTACCTTATAGGCCTGGTTCAATTTCAGACCCTAGCTCCCTCCCCTGGTCCCTTACCCAGCTATGTTCTCAGTCAGTAGAACCTGAACATGTTTCCAATTCCAATCCATCAAAATCTGTGAACATCAAAGAAGATGTGGTCCTCTGTAGCTCAGCTGGTAGAGCACGGCGCTTGTAACGCCAAGGTAGTGGGTTCGATCCCCGGGACCACCCATACACAAAAAAAAATGTATGCACGCATGACTGTAAGTCGCTTTGGATAAAAGCGTCTGCTAAATGGCATATTATTATTATATTATTATGGGGGTTTTAAGGGGATATGGGCTAGAGGTTAGGGGTGGAATTGGAACCAGATCTCACAGACTATTTCCATGTACACTATATATACAAAAGTACTTGGACACCCCTTCAAGTTAGTAGATTCGGCACACCTGTTGCTGGCAGGTGTATAAAAACACACGGCAATCCAATCTCCATAGAAAACATAGGCAGTAGAATGGCCTTACTGTAAAGCTCAGTGACTTTCAAAGTGGCACCGTCATAGGATGCCACCTTTCCAATAAGTCAGTTCATCATATTTCTGCCCTGCTGGAGCTGCCCCGATCAACTGTAAGTGCTGTTATTGTGAAGTGGAAACGTCTAGAAGCAACAACGGCTCAGCCGCGAAGTGTTAGGCCACACAAGCTCACAGAACGGGACTGCCGAGTGCTGAAGCGCGTAGAAATTGTCTGTCCTCGGTTGCAACACTCTCTACCGAGTTCCAAACTGCCTCTGGAAGCAACGTCAGCACAATAACTGTTCGTTGGGAGCTTCATGAAATGGGTTTCCATGGCCGAGCAGCCACACACAAGCCTAAGATCACCATGCACAATGCGAAGTGTCACTGGAGTGTTGTAAAGCTCGCCGTCATTGGACTCTGGAGCAGTGGAAACGCGTTCTCTGGAGTGATGAATCATGCTTCAACATCTGGCAGTCCGACAGACGAATCTGGGTTTGGCGAATGCCAGGAGAACACTACCTGCCCGAATGCATAGTGCCAACTGTAATGTTTGGTGGAGGAGGGCTGTTTTTCATGGTTCGGGCTAGGCCCCTTAGTTCCAGTGAAGGGAAATCTAAACGCTACAGCATACAGTGACATTCTACATGATTCTGTGCTTCCAACTTTGTGGCAACAGTTTGGGGAAGGCCTTTTCCTGTTTCAGCATGACAATGCCCCCGTGCACAAAGCGAGGTCCATACAGAAATGGTTTGTCGAGATCGGTGTGGAAGAACTTGACTGGCCTGCACAGAACCCTGACCTCAACCCCATCGAACACCTTTGGGATGAATTGGAACGCCGACTGCAAGCCACGACTAATCGCCATACATTAGTGCCCGACCTCACCAATGCTCTTGTGGCTGAATGGAAGCAAGTCCCCACAGCAATGTTCCAACATCTAGTGGAAAGCCTTCCCAGAAGAGTGGAGGCTGTTATAGCACCAAAGGGGGGACCAACTCTATATTAATGCCCATGATTTTGGAATGAGATGTTCGACAAGCAGGTGTCCACATACTTTTGGTCATGAAGTGTATGTACCATAACCACCATCTGTGTACCACTTTTATTATACAAACATCTAGCATGTACCAAATCACAAACCCAAGGCTCCCATTCAGAGCATCTACAGTAACTACTATGACTTCTGCTGTTCCTTCTCTGACCCCAGGCCAGAGACATGCTGTACGGGAAGCTGCCCACCTGGCAGGACAAGTGTAGCGATGCCACCAACGTGCCGGAGAGCGTGATGTCTATGATCGAGGGTCTCCGCAGCACAGTGTCCATCACCCCCCAGGCCTCCCCTGTCTCCCAGAGACACAGTAGGGTGAGACGGCACAATCACTCATTCATAAACCATTAGAAAACCATTATCAATTACAATATCTAATTTTGATTCAATGTGAGAAAGCGAGAGAACACAGCACAGATACCTTGTGATGACACTATGGCGTCACTGATTTCATAATAATAATGAAATGGTAAAAACCTGTAATACCTCTACTACTAATGTACCACTACCAATGGCAGGTTAATTACTAATGTACCACTACCAATGGCAGGTTAACTACTAATGTACCACTACCAATGGCAGGTTAACTACTAATGTACCACTACCAATGGCAGGTTAACTACTAACTACTGTACATTCTAACACTCATACTATCCCCTTCCTGTGTTCCACTTTCTATGGTCAGAGCAACTCCATATTCCGGGACACAGTTCCACCCCCTGCCCCGGTGCTGAAGGCTCAGACCAGCCCATTGGCCAGTATGTTCACGCAGGACACACCCACAACAAACTCAGTCACCAGAGAGACTGAGAGAGTCACAGGTAGTGTGTGTGTGTGTGTGTGTGTGCATGTGCATTTTTGTGTGTCATACACAAAAAAAATGTATGCACGCATGACTGTAAGTCGCTTTGGATAAAAGCGTCTGCTAAATGGCATATAATATTATTATTATTATTATTATGTGTGTTTGTATGCGTGTGTGTGTTCGCATGTCCTCCCTGCTGGTCGCAGTTGTGTGTATTTGTATGTGCGTGCATGCATGGACCTGTGTCTGTATATTAACCTTTCTCTCTCTCTCTCTCTCCAGACTACAGGGACAATGGAGGGGAGGAGAGTGGCGGTCTAGGTCCCAGGTCAGTGTCTGTGGCCACAGGACTCAACAACATTGTGAAGAGACCCAGGGTCCGCACCATCTTCCCCCACACCTCTGGGACCAACGCTACGCTGCTCAGTTTTGACGAGGGAGACATCATCACCCTGCTCATACCTGATGAGAGGGATGGATGGCTCTACGGAGAACTGGAGAAGACCAGGCAGTAAGTTAGAGAGACACACTTACATACAGTGACACACACACACACACACACACACACACACACCGCCAGCTGCTGTGTACATGTGGTAGTTCCTGTCCTACAGTAACCTGCTGGTTGATTAGATGTTGATTTTGATTGAGCTCTCCTTAACTGGACCACCCCAGATGGGGCTGGCTGGGCGCCGTGCTCTGGGATCGCTAAGTACTGCCTGGGAGCCGGCACTCACTGGGGAATACAATCAGCGCACTGCTGGAGGCAGAGAAACACAGACAGAGACAGAAGGAGAGGAGGAGAGAGGGGAAGGAGTGGGGGGAGAGGAAGAGAAAGGAGAGAGAGAGAGATTCACAGCCAAATTAACCTCTTTGATGTTTTCGCTGAATCAAGTCGTAGTGAAGTTGCTCAATATGAACTTTAAAAAGGTGTTGTATTCCTGACATGATCCTGTACATGTTCTATACAGATAATATAGGTCAAAAGCAGTGCACTAAATAGGGTGGCTTTTGGGAATAGGGTGGCTTTTGGGATGTTGCCTAGATATGTGCCAATGATACAGTGTAGTATTCTTGTGGAGGTAGGTCCCTGCAGTGTGATGTCTGTCACACCTCAGCCAGAGTGATGAATCTAGGTCAGTCACCTAGCAACACACACTGATACCATCCATATGTATCCCTCCACCACCACCATAGTGTGATGAAGAGTGTCATGGACAGGAATTAAATACATTTAATTAATATCCTGTGAAAACGTGCATAATTAATTATATATTCATTGTGTTCACAAGGCTATTTGACAAAAGTCTGTCATCTCTGATTATTTGATACCCTTTGAGTCAGCAGACTGAGAGAATGAGAGAAATGTGAAATGTTAGCCTGGTTCCAGATCTGTTTGTGCTTTCTTGGCAATTTCTACGGTCATCAATGACCACATGAGCTGGCAAGATCCCACAAAAATATCTGGGATCAGGCTAGTGAAATGTGATCACTACCTAAACCCTACAGCAGGATTCACTGCGGTGCTTTTAAAAGGGTTTAAAGGGAAGCTGGAAGTTGATACAGTATGTCAGCCTTTATGTATTCTAGTTAAACACTGGCCGCACCCAGCCGCCCATTCTCAAGCCCAATGAACAAATGGACAAATATTAACATTTCTCACAGGGATTTGTATGGAGTCAATGATTTGTCCAAACGACTCAAATTCGCTCCACTGAAGTGGTGATAGTGAGAGGAATTTCTTGAACACATATTGTTACCATATTTCTAATATGTTTGCTTTGGGTGAAAACAGAGTAAATTGCTTGTGTTAGACCCATGTTTTTGAGTTACTTTATCTGGAACATCATACTGTTGAAGTATTAGTCATGGTAGCACCCTCTCAACTGTCACCGTATTGCACCAGTTTACACTACATCAATGAACTTACACTGAAATGACTTGTAGAGTACCATTTTGTTAAGTCTCTCATCAACTGTGATGACCCTGTTTTGTTCTCTGAATGTCTCTGTTAGATTGTAGAGTCAGAGTTGAGCCATTAATGTTACATAGAGTTAGTGGCTATCCAGTCATGTTTAAAACTTAACTTGAGTTTTTTTCCCCCCCCTGGAAAAGTCTCTCCTATGAGCTATGACACCTACAATGATTCAGCGAACCTTTGTGAGAACGCTACAGCTCAATAAATACATTTCACACAATGCCACAACATGATAACTCAATTCATTAATTGAATAATTTTCAAAAATATTATGATATATCATGTGATTCATATGAGCCACACTGCAAAGGAAGAAAATCAATATTCAACAGGGGAGAAATGTGTTATTAAAGATAAAACCATATTTCCCTCAAGAACATGTTCCATTCAAAATGGTCAAATGAAACCAGATGCACTGAAATATGATAATGGTGCCCGGTGGAGAGAGCAACAGGAAATTGGCAGTTTTGTATTCCATGCATCGGTGCCTTGATTGCTTAAATTGCCATTAAACCCCTACAACTCCAGAATGCCGCAGCCCGTCTGGTGTTCAACCTTCCCAAGTTCTCTCACGTCACCCCGCTCCTCCGCACACTCCACTGGCTTCCAGTTGAAGCTCGCATCTGCTACAAGACCATGGTGCTTGCCTACGGAGCTGTGAGGGGAACGGCACCTCTGTACCTTCAGGCTCTGATCAGTCCCTACACCCAAACGAGGGCATTGCGTTCATCCACCTCTGGCCTGCTGGCTCCCCTACCTCTGCGGAAGCACAGTTCCCGCTCAGCCCAGTCAAAACTGTTCGCTGCTCTGGCACCCCAATGGTGGAACAAGCTCCCTCACGACGCCAGGACAGCGGAGTCACTCACCACCTTCCGGATACATTTGAAACCCCACCTCTTTAAGGAATACCTGGGATAGGATAAAGTAATCCTTCTACCCCCCCACCCCCCCCCCAAAAAAAAACTTTGTAAAGTGGTTATCCCACTGGCTATCCCACAGAGAGGTGCAGAAACGCTGTAATTAAGAGGCCTATAATGCTGATTATCCACTTTATTCTACCATAATGGCCTCGCGTCTATCTCACCACCTGTTAGACAGCTATAGAGAGGTTGAAGATACAGAATCCTGAGAAACAGGATTCTATTCAGCTACTGCATGATGGAGTGTTGTGTAGAGAAGCAGGTTCCAGAGGATTGTGGGGGATTGTGTACTTAGGGTTATTCAGGGAACTGTAGAAAAAAGCGGGGGAGATGGGAGTAGTATGCAAGTGTAATCACCTGCATCTCTCTCCATCTCTCTGTCTCTCTGTCTGTGTTCTCTGTCTTTCTCTCTCTCTGTCTCTCTCTCTCTGTCTGTGTTCCAGGAGGGGATGGTTTCCATCATCCTATTGCCGGGCATATTCAGAGCCAATAGTGAATAACAACAGGTAAGGGGACCACTCAGGCACAAACACACTACACACACACACACACACAGGTTTGATCCATACTTGTTGTCCCATAGTGTGTTCTCTACTCTCCTAGTCTGATGACCTTTGCTGATCAGAACTCCCTTCCTCCCTCTTCCTTCCTTCTCCCTCCCTCCTCTCCTTCCTTCTCTCTTTCCTTCCCTCTCTCTATCCCCCCTCCTGCCTTCCCCTATCCCCCTCTCTCCCTTTCTCCCCCCTCTCCTCCGCTTCTTCTTACTCACTCTCCTCCAGCTGCTTGTCTTCATCCACTACTGACGCGTAAGACTGTACTTGCTACCGACCAAGCGATACTTATCTGCAGTCCACACCCCTGACCAGCTGATTTTCATACTGTCTCCTCTCCTGCACAGCTGATCTGCTAATCCCATGCTCCGCCAGAGCTGATTTTATACTGTCGCACGTCCTGACGAGTTACTAGATCAGTCCTCTCCTACCATAGTCTATACTTGCGACTGTCTACAGCCACATTCTCCCCATTCGCTAGTTTTTCACAAGAGCCTCCTCCTCCGCCTCCTGGTCTTTTAATGCCGGCAAATAAGAGGTTGGCTGACTGTTACATGTGCTAGCCATGTCATGCCATACCAGACTATCTAGTTTGATTTTATCCCTATATAATCACTTGGAAACAATAAAATACTTTTATAGCTAGTAAACAACATTAAGATAAAAGCAATTACCATTGAGTACATTGCCCAGTCCTCATAAGATAGGTAGTTATTTTAATACAGTATGATGTAACCTAACAATCTGTAAAACGCATGTAATAGATACAGCTATAGTGATTAAGTATAGTTACTGTAGCTAAGTATCCAGATATAGTAATTAGTTAATATACATATTTAGATAGTAATACTATATATAATACTACCTGTAAATAGGATTTCCCCTGGAGCCAGTATAGTATAGTAATACAGTATAGTATAGTAATACAGTATAGTATAGTAATATAGTATAGTAATACAGTATAGTAATACAGTATAGTAATATAGTATAGTATAGTAATACAGTATAGTATAGTAATACAGTATAGTAATACAGTATAGTATAGGAATACAGTATAGTAATATAGTATAGTAATACAGTATAGTATAGTAATACAGTATAGTATAGTAATATAGTATAGTATAGTAATACAGTATAGTAATACAGTATAGTAATATAGTATAGTATAGTAATACAGTATAGTATAGTAATACAGTATAGTATAGTAATACAGTATAGGAATACAGTATAGTAATACAGTATAGTAATATAGTATAGTATAGTAATACAGTATAGTAATATAGTATAGTAATACAGTATAGTATAGTAGTATAGTATAGTAATACAGTATAGTAATACAGTATAGTATAGTAATACAGTATAGTAATACAGTATAGTATAGTAATACAGTATAGTATAGTAATACAGTATAGTAATACAGTATAGTATAGGAATACAGTATAGTAATATAGTATAGTAATACAGTATAGTAATATAGTATAGTAATACAGTATAGTATAGTAATACAGTATAGTAATACCGTATAGTAATACAGTATAGTAGTATAGTAATACAGTATAGGATAGTAATACAGTATAGTAATACAGTATAGTAATACAGTATAGTATAGTAATACAGTATAGTAATACAGTATTTCCCAGCTGTCAGACACCCTAGCGTCTGGAAGCCTCTGCCCCACTAAGGGGCTGCTGAACTGCGGTGGAGTAGGGACAGGGCTGAGCCTGGAGGTTTTCAAAGCCGAAATACAGTAGTTTTGAATGACAGAGAAGTGTTGGTGATACCTGCATGTGTAAAGTAGTTACAATGCATTGTAAGACTCATCATGAGCCTAGCTATCTTAAGATGAATGCACTAACTGTAAGTCGCTCTGGATAAGAGCGTCTGCTAAATGACTAAAATGTAAATGAGCCTGACAAGTATTATCCCTTTATAATGGCCTATTATCATCTGTAATGATGTGGAGTAAATACCTGCCATGGTGGCAGAAGGATGTCTTCCTACCTGGCCCTCTCCTCATGTCTGACTCCTTGTGTGGGTCACGCCATGCGTGTCTAACGCTCAACCTA